ATTACTGTTGATGACTGACATCAATGAGATGCTGAAATAAATTCTTAACTGCGCATCCGCTTTTTCAAGGCTGTGAAATAGGCCATTTGTCAACATGAACACGAAGCAAACAAAGTGAATCACTCCATATCCAAGAGAGGCCATGATTTTGCCAAGAAATATCGTTCCCGGATTAACATCTTTTAATAACCCTAAACCTCTCCAATCCCAACCCTAACAATAAATCACCGCTAAAATCAGAGGGACTGAAAGAATGCTGTTCAAGTTTCAGCCTCAACCTCAATTTTGCTGTAAAATTCTCAGGGATTTTGCACAAAGGAATGTTGCACTTTTAGCCCACAAGCTATATGCTGCTGAGTCACCTGTTACAATTACTAAACTGTTTTGTTGCAAAATCCTCAAAACTATACCACAGAGGAAAGCCCCCAAACTCCTAAACTGCTCTTTGTAATGCAAAGACTTACACCAGATTTTTCCATCGTAGCAGACTTTCACCTGCGTTTACTTGGTTTGCACTCCTACAAACCACCAGCACATCAAAGAGATGGAACTCCCCCTTCAGCAACCCCAGTTAAATGACAATTCTGAGAAGATATTTTGAAGAATGTGGGTAATCAAACAGTTTCTGGCCCCCATTGGCTTCCATAGTATGGACAAAAAATACTATGGAAGTCAATGGGGGCCAGAAACTCTTTGGTTACCAGTATTCTTCAGAGTAACTTCTTTTGTTTTCACCAGAAGAAAGCAACTCGAATGAGCTCGAATAAATGATGACAGAATTTTCATTTTTGGGTGAACTTTCCCTTTAAAATCAAACTATCCAGTTAATGCTCTGGCGACTTCAGATTACAGAGAATGTTCTTCTATATTTGTGTATTAGCAAAGGTACGTGCTGTTATTGGTGTTTCTGCTGTTTAATCTTTTTTGGATTGTAAAGCACTGTTTGTAAATCTGCTTTGGGATGACTGGTATACGGTGAAAAGCTCTGTACAAGAACTCAAAATGACTCTGCTTGGCACTGTTCTTGTTTTGGTTTTGAGCAAGTTATCTACTGATGTTTATGTGTCTGTGTGTTCTCAGTTTATACAGTGGTAAAAATAAAGTCCTGATATTACATGTAGTAAAATAAACTGTGACTGGGTGGTGTGACGCTGTCTGGATATGGTCTATTTTTGTGCACTCACAGATCCCATGGCTTTGCGCCTCTCTCCTCTCTTCTGACACTTTTATTATTATTATTATGATTATTTACTTATTTTTTATTAATGAAGTCAGCATGATACTCTGTTTGTAATCTCTATTTTTTATTTTAAAATGATTAATGGTTAATAATTATTTGAATGATACCCTGGTTGGAAATTATTTATTTATTTTTTGAATTTATTTATTAGTTTTGAATTTATTTTATATTATTTATTTTATTTTATTTTTTATGTATTTTATAACATCTCATATTTATTTTAGTTAGTTCGTTTTATGCACAATAAGACCAGGAATGTGTAAACAAGTATGTTTTGATTTTACATTGATTCACAAAAAAAAAAGAGAAAATGCAAAATATAATCAGAGCAACAGGAAAATATATATTACTTCGTTTATAGTCTGAAAACCTTTATCTACAACAGCAAAACATCTCAAATGGCATAGTGAACTAGTAATTTATTATTCCCAGTGAGAGAGCTTTACAGTAGTGTGACGTTTTTATTTTATTTCATTTCATGAGACCTGACATGCTGCTTTGTATCATATTTTTCTGCACATGACTGAGCGGGTGCCGTGTTGGGTCCTACAAAACACACACTGGCCAAGTGGAAATAAAATATGAGCCCTTGGAGAGGGACATTTCCATGAAATCTCCCAATCTAAGTGTGCAGATTGGAGTGTGTCTTGTGATTCTTCCTGTTTTCCTATTATTATTCCATTTCCTGTCTGTAAGTAGAAAGATTAAAATAGCCGCACTGAAATGTATTGCTCTCTGGGGGAACCATTTGTGTAGAAAACATTTAAGAGAGGAGCATCTTTCTAAGTGCAGGCCCCTAGTGTTAACATTTGATGAGCTCTCTGAGACGATGCCACTGACTCAAGAAAAGGTGGGCATGACGGGAACAGGATGTGAAAGACAAATTCTGTGACTGGGTACGTATATATGGATTACACCCACACTAATAGCAGCGCGATAACAATTGTTTGCACTCTCGCCTTGTTTTCGAAATGACAGTATTGTTTGGTGCCCTCAGTGGTGAACATATAGCTCTGACAGATGGAAAACAATCTATCTTTCTTTGAGATGAGATTGTGGGTGGAAAATCTGTTGGTTCTCACCAAATTTCCAAAAGCATGCTAATTGTTTTCTCTGTGTAAAAACAACATTCTTTCCC